CCGGTGGAACCCACTCTGACTACAAAACCCTCAGGACACACGAAGGAAAGCAATTTAGTAGAGTGTGGTTTGCACTACAGTGTGTTCACCATATAGTTATACATTATATTTTGGCATTTGTTTTCCGCCTTAGTACCTCTGGATAATATTTTTGAAAAACTCCTATAGAAATGGTTTATTTTAGCTTACTGAACTATTGGTAATCTGTGACGCATTCCCTACAAAATTGGAAAATCCAATATCTGTTGGGCTACAAATGAAAATGCAACAGTTACTGAAAAGTGTGAAACAATAGAGACATGTTACTGATGTGCAACCCTTCAAAGGTAGGTGGGTGTTTCACTGTCTTGACATGATGGTGTTGATTGAAGGAGATTCACTAGAAGCTGTAGCTTACTCGAGTCAAAATCAATCATTCATCATCCTCTCCTGTCAGGCCTAACAAAGCTATGCAGAATGAAATCTCTGGCCTTCTTTTCAATCCAGTCTTATGATAGTAGGGATGACTCTCTCCTGAGCAGCAGGAGCCTTAAACTCTATTTTCTCCTGCAATCTCGGTCATAATGGTCGATCCATAGTGGAGAATATTGTTTTATGGCTGGCCAGCCTCAGTGCTTCAAGCTGCCAGCAGCAATAGAAATATATAAAATGAAATGAGGCGGAGAGAGCGACAAGTATATAAACTCCTCAAATACCCTGCTCTTCATCCCATAACACAACTCGTGGTCCAGAAACTTTGGTCTCTTTTGCTTCACATTGTTGAGAGAGCCATCCCCTAATGACAATAACCTTATGTAAGTAGAAAAAGATGTAGTAGTTTCTGAAATCCTTTTACTGTAACTGTGTAAGTACTGCCTTCATACACTCATGAGAATCCTTGGCTCTGATTTTAGTACTTACGTAATCCACGGCCATCTCATCACACATTCTTTCATCCCGAGACCTCAGTAGACATGAAATATGCAGCATCCAAAGAGAACTACTGTTTTTCTCAACCTTCAGCTTCCTCTGCAAGACTGCAGTCCCCCTGGGCCGACCCAGTAAAGTCAAACAGAACATTTCTTCTGCTAAAAGAGGCCAAATGTGATAAGTGATGACTTATGAGTAATACTAAGAGAGAGGAAAACTCGGGTCAAATCATTAAGAAACGCAAAAATCAGATTAGTGAGAGTTAGACAGCCATCATGATGCTTAATAAAGTGTTAAATTAGAGATGGTTAGGAAACAAACATTCGGCAAAGATGAATTCTCTCCAACTCTCTCCACAGCACGTTTATAGCTGCTGTTAAACTAGGTTGATGTATTTTTTGATTTGATTCTGTTGGTTTTAAATATGCCCGATGAAGGGCAAGGGCCCGAAATGTTACATGTGGTGATTTTCCATTAAATGTAATATAATTGGAGCAGCTTCTGGTATCCGGACTCTATTTTTCCTCTATCTTTTGAAGTTTTTCGTTCAGCACCCAGTTCTTAAATTTTCGGATGTGCTTGCCGTTTTGATATTTTGGTTTTTAATAACAGAACATGACCCGAACCCTCTGAAGAAATGGCACTTTATACAACATATGCACATATAGCACAATAGCACAGATAAATAACACTCACTGCTTCACTGTGAGACTGACTTGTATAAAGCCTCGACCTACTTCAGGTAAAGGTCAATAGCATGGTTAAGAAAAGGAGTTACATTTATGTTATGTCATGCAGCTGATATTTCTCTTTGGAGTGGTTGCTGTCTGGGGATACTTGAAGAGCAGAGTCTGCCGCAGGTACGGGGGAGGGGGGGAGGAATTGTAAGGAAGCTCGAGAATTTGACTAAAATCATGATGCAATTAAAAGTAGCTATATCCACATTTTTGTCAGCTTTATCAAAAAGCTGAACAAGACATATTGTAGCAGTAAAGGTGATGAAAATACCTACAATGCCTCTTGAAGTATTGGAAAAATATGGTTTGATTGCTAAAAGAAATAGAAATTGATAGTTAGCTAAAAGGACACAATATATGTTTGACAGTGATCAAACATAGTTAAGTTAAAGATAAATGCTTGAAAAGGTTAGCTTTAAGTACAGGGATTTTATAACTAAACATGATCAGTACACTGTTCCACAGTTTGACTGTGTGGAAATCTGATGTTATCACAACATGATAGGTGCTGAATGCATTCAAATTTGAGCCACAGGTCATTTGGTCTGTGATAGGAGTGAAGTGGTGTGGTGGTGATAAACTGAATAAACAGCACAACCAACCATATTCTGCAACATCAGGTCGCATCCACCTGAGGAAGTATGGTTATGCTATTAAACCCCATTGCTACAGATGGCCATGGTTGATGACTCAGAGCCAGTCCTAATAGGGTGATACTGTAAGTGGTTAAATAGAAAGCTACAGTAGCATACGAGTTAAGAGTCACTTTAGCTTTCTACTGTAACAGTTAATAGGTGAATGCAAACCCACAGATGTGAACACCGATACATTTGTTGGGGAAAAGATAATCTAAAATGGCTATTTTATTCATCTGTCAATCTATGTGATAACCCGGTCAGCATTCCTTTATCAACATGATTGTGAAATGAAGCATCCAGGTTTGTGAATAGATGACTTTTGAGGCCCAGATGCTCTCTCAGCTCTGCATTACAGCAGTCAGGGAGCGGGAGGACAGCCAGCACCCGTTGGCCTGTGATCGTTCCAGCTGGACAACTTAACAGAGACAGCGGACATGTCAGCGTGCCTACAGGTATCTGACTTCCCCTCTCTGTTTCCTCCTGCACAACTCTATAACTTAAGACCTCGGCCCTCGCTCCTTACTTCCCTCGTCATAAGAGCAGCAGTGCCCTCACCCTGCTGACAAAAGATGCAACTCTGCTTTTACAGCCCTCGTAAACACTCCACAGCTGAAAAACAATGAGGCTGGCCATTGGCAGAGTAAAGCAGAGGTTATGTCACAATTGAGCACGTCTGACAGCTTTATGTGCTACAGAAAGGATCAAAAGGAAGAGGTAAGTGTAGGTGTAGTAATGGACAAGACTAACTGATTCAACAAAGCACTCTGAGGGCCACATAGACCCGTCAGCACACTTTTCATTACTGACACATAAATCTGGCAAATAGGGAGGCTAAGTGGCACCTCGGGTACCATTAAGAGCTGTCGTATAATTGCCTTCTCTTCAATGTTTTTTTTTTCTTCTTGATTTTTAGACAGTAAAAGCTACTGCGTCTCTCTTTAGGCAGGCAACAGACTATGATGCTTTGATGGCGTGCTACACAACAATGTTTGTTCGACTCTTTTCTGAAAATACATTTAATCTCAAAAAATGAAAAATGATAACAAATTGTTCTCACAACCAGTTGCAGCCAAGCAGGCCATCACAAACACGTTGGGAGTTCTTAACTCTCAATGGCACTTCTAAAGGACAGAAAGGAGCCATGGATTTAACAACCATCCCTACAATAACCTATACCAACTGAGCTCAAGAGCAAAGTCCCCCTAAAACACGATCTAGCTAAGTCATAGTGAAACATACTTCCACTTTCTCCCATTTGAGTTTAGGGTACCCTTCCACCACACTTACTTAGCGTGTCACAGAATAAAGGCCTAAGATGTTTTTATTTAATTGTGGAAGTTCTCATTCACGGACATAAATGTAAATCATGGTTGGGGTCAAAAAGTTAATCCATAAAACGCATTCACCCTCAGTAACTTGTATGGGGGCTGAGTCCTTCACCATCAAAAGTATTTCAGAACAGCACACCAAATTCACTCTTTCATTTTCTACGGGATTGGGTTCATTTAATAGAAATTAAAATATGCACAAAGATGCACAATCTGCCGTGTGTGGATCTCTGCATCTGCAATAATTGGTATACAACAACAATCTATCTTTGCAAAAGTAAAACATTACTACCTGTTACTCGTGAGATGAAAATCATTACTACCTGTTACTCGTGAGATGAAAATCAGCGTGGAAATAGGTGCCTGAGGGGTACGCTGGTGGCCTGACGGCTAGTTATAGTCCTGCCAGAGACCTCTGTAGCATACTGCCTCCTTATTACCTGTCATTTCTCTACAGCCAAGCTTCCAAAAAATGCCCTAAAAGCCAAGGTACTGTAAAACAAAAGCTATAAAACTTGTGGACATCGTCATTAATTGCATATCAAATCTTCATCTTATTTCACAATTATCTAAAAAACAGAAAGACATCTGTACACTCTCAAGTATAATTTGCAGTAAGTGTATGTTTTTCAGTGGAAAAGCTTACCTGACAGATTTGAAATAAGATTAAAGCTGAACCATAAAAAAACCTCTAAAAAAAAAAAAACACAGCTTATTTCTAAAACTGCACTAAGCAGTGAACAGAGCCACATGAATGCAGGAGCAGAGCTGGGAGAGGGCTGAGCAAACACAGGCAGGGGCTTAGGATGTATCATACCGACGACAGGCACCAAGCTTCTCACACTGAGATGACTGCAGGGATCGATCAAAGGCTGCCTTCCCCTCTCTAGCCCACGTTTAGATCATTAAAACCTAAATGAGAAGTGGTAACACCTATACACACGCGGAGGCGGAGACGGAATGACTGTGCGTGGATACACAATCTCAAGGATGACAATAGGACAGCACGGCCAGTGTGATACAATGAACATCGGTGTCCAAGTGAGTTAGAGAGCAAATCGATCAGCCGGGGCTGCACCATGAGAGAGAGGGGCGAGGGGACAAACTAGTGTCAGGGTAATCAAAGGTTGAAACTTGCGCTCAGCAGGTCATTCGTTAAAAAGAGTCCTGACAAACACACACACACACACACACACACACTTGATGAAAACAGAGACAAATGCAGCGGCAGCAAGTGAAAGCAACACATCAAATAGACTGCATGTGCAAGATCTCTCAGTGCAGCACAAAGAAGTGTCACACAGCATACGGAGTAGGGAAAAAACAGATGAGTGTGTGTGTGTGTGTGTGTGTGTGTGTGGAGTAAAACGTGTGTGAAGTTGGCTCACCCGGGACTATAACTTGCACTGTGCTCCGTCCACATCTGTAAGCCTGGAGGAGGTGCTCTGTTCACTGCTTGCCGTCTGCTCCAGCTGGGTCTGTGTGCAAGATGATGCTGCTCCACCAGTCTTTCCGGCGGTAAGCGTCCTCCACCTCCTTTTATTCTTCTTCCTTCTCCAGCAGCAGCAGCAGCAACAGTGGACTGCATTCACTCACCTTCCCTTCTTCTTCTCCTCCGCACAGAGCTGCAGTTGTATTATCTACCGCCTCCAAAATGAGCTCCCTGTTCCTCTGTACGGTGAAGGCAGCAGGAGCTCCTCTGCCAGCGGGCTCCCGGCACTGTGTCTCGGGGAAGCGGTGAGGGCTGCCACCGGCGGCGGGAAGCAGCTCGGACTGACGAAGCTCGCGTTATTGGATTGCATGTGTATGAGTGTGCTGGCGCGTGTGTGTGTGTGTGTGTGTGTGTGTGTGTATGGGATGTAGAGCGTTGCGTCGCGCGCGCGCGCGCGCGCGCTACAGCGTGTGTGTGCGCGCGAGCGTATGGGTTTGTTTGAAATCGGACCTGGATGCTGTTCATTACCTTTGGGGCTCATCTGAACTGCTCTCTCTTTCTCCCACTCTCACTATGTTCCTCGGGCAGCTTCTTGCTGCGTTCATGTCCTGTGGGGAAAGGGATGACAAGATATCTGTTTTAAAATTCAGTTGACTTTTGGATGGTGGGTTTACTCATTCACTCATCAGGGATAAAAGTGACTGAATAATAAAAATAGATATATATTTCAATAAAAGGCTAAAGAAAAGAGCATTTAATGTATGAATTAGGTAGAAACTATTATTTAAAAAATATTACCATGAACAGGCTATATTAGGCTACCATTTATATTTTATGTTTCCCTCAATTTCTTATGATGCCTGTATCATTTATTGGCAAGTTTAATCTCAAAATACGCTTTAAGAAAGCCTTTTCAGCCTATTGCCTTTAAGAACTTGATTTCATATAACCCCCAACCATCGCTAACATGTTTTGCTAATTAGGCCTATCAATAAATTTAGCTATCTAGCTGGTTGGTAGGCTAATTCATAAAATTGCATTACAATAGCCTATAGACTATTTCTTTGTTTGAACCTCATTTTTAATTTTCGGGCAACAAAGGGCAGCATATCAATTTATAAACACACCTCTCAGGCATAATCACATTGTAATGTAGCCCATTTGTAATGAACATTAGTTAGCCTGAATACTTTTTACAGGCTACATCCAACATAGCCTACTTTAGTTTTGATACCAAGCTTCATGCCCAATACTTAGGCTACTCCCCTTTTGGGGTCGCTTTAAGTCTTAAAACCTTGCAGACATAGGGCGTTAAACATGTCACAACAGAAGACGAGCAAGTGGAATTAAAAAAACATTAACTAAATTTATGTCTGCTTTCAGTTAAGATTAGTCAGCTCCAGGGTCCTGGCATAAGGGCTTGCTCACTCCCTGTGACTTACTGGGACACTTAATGTAATATCCCTTTTTAATGTAATTATTTGAAAGAGTAACTCCCTTCCAGGGCAAGGATCAACCTTTATAATTTACCTTTCAAAATTAAGGATTTAGATCTCACATTGAGATTTCTTAAGGTAAAATATCATTATAATAGGTGTATTGATTCTTTTACAAGTTAACAAATCTTGAACCCATTTTGGCCTCAACCTGTCTAGTCCAATTTATCTCCCATAGTGCAAAGTATTATTACACTTTTCAACAGACTTTTTTAATCTACAGTATGCCAGCTCTTGGGGAGCAATTTGAAACTGCTCAAGCACACTCGTGGAGTCTGAGACCAAACCTTTACAGCCAACTATATCAACCCACTCTGAGGCAACAGCTGCCCTCAAGACATTGAGACTTTATACTGGAGAGAGATAGATGGTGAGCCGTTTTGAAAGTGTTGACAGCTGGATTGTATTTCAGTTTATGGGAAGTGAAGAAAGATGCTTTTTCCATTTAAATCTCTATGGGACGTATGCTATATGTTGTGCACTGCATGTGTTGATGAATGCATTTCTGAAAATGACCAACCAAACTCCACAGTATTAGCTGCAGTGAAAAATATTGTGCAACATGATATAGTTTGGGCGGTTGTATAGAGTAAAAATAACACAAATAAAGTGAACAACTCAGCATCAAACCTGCTTGTTTGAGTTACACGTTTTTCTGTGACACAGATTTTTCAGACATAGAAAAAGAAAGCATCACATGCTGCATATAGTGATGGTATGGACTCAAAGTTGTATATATCAGCATCAATAGTATCATATTAGCATATAGACAGTTGGTCTGACTGCACTTAGGATGTAGATATTGTTAAAGTTTTAAGCAGACTGGGCACTTTTCCCATTCCATTCATTCCTAACTCGAGAATAAGGAGTCCTATTTTTACTCTAGTGCACACAAGGTGGGGAAGACTCTTAGTTTTCCTTCAGGCATCCTTACACATCTTTTACTTTCCACTTGCCGCTTTTTAACCAAGCATAAATCAGAGCCCGAGGCAGTGCAGGCATGTCATATTCAGGTGAAAATGGAGACTTTGCCACATATCTACACCTATCTGCAGTCTGTGCTGCCGTCCTAAACGACACAATGGAGCTCTCCTTTTGCTGCTGCAGTCTCTGTGCGTGGTGGTTTCTAATTCCTAGACTGTCGCTCTCCAGAGTCGACTGAAAAAAATATAGAGGAAGTACAAGGGTTGGTTATTATTACTAAATCTGACCATTGTAATTAGTAACCTCATTTTGAAGCTGTTCCTTTTCAATTGCTTGACAAGTGACCTTCATGAATGTCATTTCCTCTCCAGCCATTTCCTTGGTTGGCTGTAAGAGAAAAGCTTTGACGTGAGGTGGAGGATACTGTCTCACTTGGCTGAGGTCTCTGCAGCAGCTTTACAATAATACACACAGCACGGTAATAATGAGCATGCCTTCTCTTTGCATGCCTCAACCCTGAGGGCAGCACTGAAATCACGTCCGCTTTGGGTTCCAGGGGCTTTCTCTGGCTGAATATTTTTAAGGTTTTCAGTATTGAGGGCGTGGGTGTTGATAAATATGTTATGTATAAAACATGAAGGCAGTGTACCCGCCTACTGTGCAGGTTGAAAAGGCTCTACATCAACTCTAGGACTCCCTGGTCATTTGTCAAACTGAAAGCCCTGCTTACTCTCACTTTCTTTGTGTGGATGTGATGGACTGAGTAAAAAAATAAAATAGAAGTTATGGTCCTGGGTTTAAACGTTGTGGCACTCAGGAAGAAGATTAACACATTTATATAAGAACAGTTAAGTAGTGTTCTTATATAATAGTGAAGTACTGGTACTCTGAGATCTACCTACATCTGGTCAACTGTACTGTATATCCAATATAAGTTATTCACTTTAATGAATTTTATTTCATAAAGGTAACTTGGAACCTTATATAAGATTGCTAATATTTACCTGGAAGGAAATACTTTCATGAATGAAAACCCTTTATTCAGAGATAATAGCATTACTTTTCATATCGTACATGTCCTGAATTATTATCATTAAATCCATTTTATTGCTGATCTTGATAAAATTAGGATTTTGCTTTATTTGTACTGTAGGAAAGTTTGGCAATATGTTTGGACAAAAACACAGAACCTGCCAAAAGACACAGCCTAGTGTGCAAGATAAGAGTTTAAATTATATTAATGTTCTATATAAGTTCAATTTAAGACCTCTTTTTTTATGAATGAAGGTCTTTAGTTTTCTTATGTCTGTTTTCGAGAGAGTGTCACTCACCCCTTTAAGGAAATAAAAAAAGAAACCTTTGTTTACGGCCGTTTACCATTGAGCAGAATACTAGCATTTGATTGTGGTTTGATTAATGTGTGTTAATGTTGGGATCCATTTTAGTTGATAAATACATGCTCTGCATTTAGTATGTTATTCACTTTTTCTTTCTTTCTTTTTGCACTAATTATTAACGATTCTTCTTAACAAAGGCCAGCTTCCTTGGGGAGGATTGTGCTTTTATGAACGTGTGCACATGGCATTACCAAGATGGATTTTGCGATTGGGAGGATGTAAAGGTTTTTTTTGGGTTTTTTTTTTAAACCAGCCAAAGTAAAATTAAATCAACTTTTTGACCCCCTATTTGTCAGCTATTCTTTGTTCTGTAATTGTGCCCTGTTGGGATGTATGCTTATGAGTAGGAAAGGTAATGCAGAGCTCCTGATTAGCAGGGTATTAAAAACAAAACCATCTCTAACATTTGACATAGAATGATAATATGTACTCTCAGATTTGCAGAAACACACTGCTATGCTGTGAAACTGGAGTCCATAGCAGGTTTATGTGATTAAAATCTTGAATTTTTCCGCTAGTGCACCAGCACTTCAGGCAACATCAACAGTTAATCACTATAATAAGCATGGCTTTAAAAGTAAGTCATATCAAGTTCAATATCAATCAGCAGTGCAATATAGTGAAATATTAAATTATATAGTAGAATATTTAATTTATCTGAAAGAAGGAAATTGCATCAGCAACAGAAAACAGATGCCACATGTAGACCCTTATCAACACTAAGTGAAAGACGTTTTAGTATATTCCTTTAACAACATCAGAACTTAACATCAACGATGATCATTAAAATCATTACCATCAATTAATACATCAAGCTGCACTTACACGTTATTTCTGTCAACATGGTGTAAACAGAAAACAAACATTAGAGCTCCACAGAGCAGTTATTTACTACAGCAGCATGGCTTTAAACATCAACAAACACCGCTCACCTTGAGAGAGGGCCATTAGCAAAGACTCAGCAAACCCTTCTGACAGCATTACATCTCAAACATTTCCCCACTCAAATAGAAAAACAAAAAGCTAAAGGCCTTGGGCTACTTAAAGCAGTTCTGCCCATTAATGCACGCCCACTCTCTCCAAACAAAACACAACAACAAAGACAAAAGGTCCAGCTTTCAGTGAATGGAGGACAAATAGATTCAGCAGCAGCAGGATGAGGCACATGTCGACTTTCCTTTTCTTGAGAAGTAATTATGCCAAAATTCAGAGTGCAGAAA